AATCAACGTCATTACGCGCCGCTCTCTTTCTCTCTCGTTAGCACCAATTGGGCAGCGGCAGCCGCGACCCCTTCACAGAATTTGAGGGCTGTTCCAGAGCGAAGCGCAATATGTCTGTTGTATATTGGGTGCTGTTGTGTGTGTGCGTGCTTGCATGTGTGTGTGTGTGTAATGTTGACGCCATCGTACACCTCAGCTATGGATGTAGTCGTATGTATATATGTATGTGTGTACATTTGACAGCTGCAGTATCTGCGGACTGTCCTTTTTCTAAGCTGTGCCCCTACGTCGGCCCACACCCTTGACGAGTACATATTTGTACTGCAATTTGGCGGCGCACTCTCCTCTTATGATTTGCCTCTTTTTGCGTTCTCATTTTTACAAGTGAGTCTTGGGTGCCCCCTGTTAAGTTAACCTCCCAAGCCGACCCCTTCATGCTGCGCTATTATCGAGAGAAATGCTTTGTTTATATGCTGGAGTACTGTAAAAAACATATCGATGTTAAAGGCATATACGCATGTTTGTATGTATATGTGTGCATGTGTCACATGCATATAAATATGTGCTCCCTACATATGTATGCGAAAAATGATTCCGGGCTCCGAATGCTGTAGTTAGCCATTCTATACTAACACACATGCATACATATATCAACACATATATGCACATATGTACATACATATATATGTTTCTGTCGAAAGCGCAAAATGATGTGAATTGCTGTGCACCCTGGGAGATTTTGTAATCAAATAATTACTGTAATTAGGATGGATGGCTGATGTCTGATACGTACACATACACACATACATGTGCATATATGTACCTATTTAAAATTCCCATGAAAGTGCAAAGTGAGGCCTTTTTTTTAGCAACATATGTACATGTTTGTACATACATATATGCATAAAAACAAAATCAATCTTAATTCCATACATCATTAGAAATGCGATGAATTAACACAAGATAAAAAGAACCCACATTGCACAGGTAAATGGATTTACCTATTGTACATATACTGATGCTTGAGTTTACATATATATGTAGGTATATAGTATGTAGATGGTTAGGTAAGTTCTTCTGTAGTATGTGTAAAATGTATGCATATCGAACCTATACATATTTATATATAAGATGTCCCAGATAAGAATAGAAAAGGTTTACATGATTAGAGTTGTGTACATGCACACATGCATACACACATACATGCTGAAAACGTGTATGTATGTGTGCACGGTTATTTGTACATATTACAACGAAATGAGCGAGCAAAACGGCATCGCCGACAACAAAATGACACCGCGCCAGGTGAGTGGAAGGCGCTGCAAAAGCTCAACGCGTAAATAAATAAACCCCCTCCCCACTAGGCGTCTGTCCGTTTGTGCGTCTGTGCCCCGCTCATTGTCAACAGCTACTAAAACAGCTAGGAACTTCATAATGAGCAATGGCCATGTGGGCGTGTTGTTGCTGTAAGGGTGGAGGCAGCGCATGCGTCTGTAGTTGTAGCATCCATTTTGCATTTAAATGGTGGGTGTGGTCTTTGCTCACTCACACAAATGCACACACACACACACACACACACACACGAGCGAGCGAGCGAGCGTGCACACACATGCAAACACATCCACAGAGAAAGCAGCACACATTGAACCGGTCCAAAACCACTTGATTAGCTCGTTCTTTTCGTTTCTATGTTCGCACTCGCATCCTACATCGATGTCGCTGTCTCTCTCTCTCTCTCTCTCTCTCGCAGTATCTCTCTCCCGCAAGTACAAGCATACCCACATTATGCACAAAGTATTCAAATTCAACAGGCAAAAAACTCGCCTACACACAACACACACACACACACACACACACATACTTGGCTTGTGCTTCACGCTGTTGTGTGTCGATAAATTTTGTGTTTCGCATCGGAATGTATCTTTTTAATTGCTTTCACACAGATTCCATGGAAAACTTTTACTTTTTTTACTTTTACTTTCAAATTAAAAACTGTCGCAGAAAAAACTTTAAATTATTGCGAAATCTTACACCCATATTCAAAATGTTATATCACATCTATGTAAGCATTACATCTATACGAAATTCCCAGAAATTTCCTTGATACCATCGGCCATTGTTTTTGGCTTAACTCTGTCCTATTTTAAATGCAACAATATCTGTTATTACTTGAATATTTTTAACCATATAATAGAGTCTTATATATGAGTAAAATCTTCTTCTCCAGCTCCAGCCCAGATTTAAAATTAAGACAGGTCTAATAAAAGCCATATGCAGCAAAACTTTGACCCTTTCTCGAACCCTGTAGACCTCTTTGGAGAAGACGGGTCAGACGAACGAGCTAAACTCTGAGAGTAAAAGAACAGTTTCCAAAAGCGGTACATATCCACGGGGTACCTTTTTTTATTACAGAGGTGCGCCTTTTTATACCCTTGTAGAAGTACTATAATTTTGACATGAATAAGATTTTCTACGCGTCTCCGATTTAATATGATTTGAAAATAAAATAATTTAACCTTTTTCCTTATTTAGGGATCAATTTTTTCTTAATCTTAACAAATTATTTTTGTTAAGTTTAATTTTCATGAAATATGTACATGGCATAAATTTAGGTGCAAATTTACTTATCATAGCTACTTAAAATGTGTTAATATTTGGTGGATTTTCAATTGGACGTGTTTTGCAAAGAATTTCACAAGTTTACAATTTTGTTCCTTAGTTCATAAACATTACATATAATTTTATTTGAACGCATTAATCTTAATCTTAATAATCTTAAAACGTGAGTTTTTATTTCCCAAGCTCCAAGCACATTTAATTTTTTTCTATAACGTATTATTAGTCTTAGTTTTTATAATGCCTATATAATTGGATGAAAATAAGATCATGTATAAAAAAACATTGATTTTCGAAATATTTAAAAAAATATCACATTTACGAGTTCCAGCATCCGCCTCGCATATGAGGAAAATGCTAATAAAGAACAAATACCATACTCAGCTATTACTAGCTTTACAAATTTTTCTCACATATATGCAAAACCGTAAGTCTCAGGTCGGCAAGGGTATTAAACCTTCGGCGTGCCCAAGCTAGCCGTTCTTTCCTTTGCTTTTTATGCGCTTAGGTGAAATTTTGCAGTACAAAAAAATGTACAACGAAATTATAGAATTGACAGTTATTTAATTTAATCATCTTTGGGCCAATTCGTAATTCGTAAATTCGTCCCACTTAAAAGTGCAGCATTTTGGAAAAGCGCACAGTTTCAAGGGTATCCTCGAGTGTGCATTAGTTTCGCACCGTTGCGTTGCGTCTGCCTTCCTTTGTTCATTTCTGACATAGAATGCTCGTAAGTAGATTGAGCAAAAGCGATTGGATTTGACATATTCCAAACGAGATACAACAAATATTCAAAATAAATCCAAATGCAAGCTTAAAATCGCATAGAGAACTCTGTACTCATTTTCCTGTAGCTACTCCAAATCGCATCATAAACTTGTTAATTTGAACACGCGCGTCTTCAAAATTATCAATAAGTTTCGAGTCAGATTACACTGAACTGAAATCCGTTATCGGTATTTTATTGTCATTTTGGAATGTTATTTTATATCATGTGGTACACACAATGAACACTTTTCCGAAGTATATGTGTAGTGGACTTAAATGCTGAGCGAAAAATAGTCTAGTTCGCGAAATATGCACATTTGGTTAAACGGGCTTTTATGGTATTTTCTAGAAAAGATTACAGTATTTTTTGGCATTTTTGTTGTAGACTAATTTGGGCCACACATTCGACTAAAGACACGTAAATCAACAATTGGAAAAGAAAGACTGTTTTGCAAAATCAAGACATTATATGTAAATTGGAGGAACATGGACGCTGGGACATGGTATAAATCGCTACCCCGCTTCACCCGTTACTGGCTAACGGCAACTGTGGGACTGAGCCTACTCTGCAGATTCGGCCTGCTGCCAATGGAATACACGTACCTCTCGCGCGAGCTGGTGCTGACCCGGTTACAGCTGTGGCGCTGCATCACGTCCCTATTCGTATTCCCACTGAGCGGAGCCACGGGCTTCCATTTCCTGATCAACTGCTACTTCATTACGCAATACAGTGCGCGCCTGGAAAAGGATCAGTACGCGCGCAGCCCCTCGGACTACATGTATCTGCTGATTATCACAGCTGTGCTGGCCAATCTCGGAGGCATGCTATTCAATGTGTACTTCTTGATGGACATGCTGGTCGTTGCCATAACCTATATCTGGTGTCAGCTGAACAAGGAAGTAATTGTTAGCTTTTGGTTCGGCAGCCGGTTTAAGGCCATGTATCTGCCTTGGGTGCTGGCGGGCATCGAGCTGGTTTTCCATGGCTCCTTGGCCTCCCTGGTTGGCATTTTCAATGGACACGTCTACTACTTCTTAAAATTCCAATACCCCCAGGAGCTTGGCGGCAATGCATTTCTGGAGACACCCGAATTTCTGTGAGTATCCATTCCCATGTCCGCATCCACATCAAAAGCAGCAAAATCTAATGTATGTCGCTTTTCCTACTCGACAGGAAACGCTTTGCACCCGATGTCTCCGGCGGCATTAGCGGCTTCGGTGTACCGCCGGAGAGCAGAGCGCCGCCTCCACGCCAATCAGCCAACTCAGCCTGGGGTCGCGGCATGGCCTTAGGACGCAATTAGAAACCTTAATTAAGTTTAGTTTACGTGCTATCTTTTTCTACACTAACAACTGTACTGGATCGCAACCTATCTCGATCAACCTTGAGAACTCATTATCTTTACTTTGAGTTTAGTATCTTTTTTTGAATGTAGAACGTCATTAAGTAAAAAATGTTAAGCGGCGGATTGGTAAACAAATAAGAATGCATATTTCTACAAATATACACCCAGGATACAAAATTCTGAATAGGTTTCGACTTTCTTCCTAATACTTAAGTCACCTAATGAGCTACAGGGTACAAATAGCGATAAATTCGCTATAATCAATCTAGTCCACTTTACATACATACATATCAATTTTAACTTGATAGTTTCCATGTCGGAAATTTTAATCGAATTCCTAAACTAAACTTGGCCCGAGTACAATAAGGAAGATATGGAGTTGCATGGGTAAATTTCATTGTTATTTCATTTTACTATTGCAACAGATTGGGTTCCAGCAAAGCTTTGCAACAATAAGCTACAAATTCATTTAATTCTCTGACTAGCAAGAAAAAGCTTTGAAGGGAACGAAAATATTGTCTTAATACCAGGCCTGCAAGTCCTAAGCGAATTGTCCTTGCTTCGGTTCACGTTAAGAACAGGTGTGGCTTGTTTTAGGCTCGTTAAGCTGACTATTAATCCATCTAAGAACCCCTCGTCATATTTTTTCGAATGAAAACAATTCATTTTTTTGGCATATAGATTTGTTTTATAGTAAAAGCCAGCAGAAGCAATGTGCTCAGCTCCGAGCTACCGTAAAAGATGCCTCACAAGTTGTGTTTACAATTTGCGGGGAACTCGGTAGTATACACAAGCTAAATAATCACAACCTATGTTTACTCCTGGGGAATTTACAAACTCTTTCTTTGAGAAAAATAAAAATGTAGATCGCTCTAAATGAAATGGGAGGAGCTTAACTTGGTCTTGTGATAACTGACTTCACACAGATGGACAAAGAGTGGACTCGGCTGTCGGCGCTGATTAAGAATATATATATAATATATAACATCGGAGAGAAGCCTCCTGATTTTAATTTTTGAATTGTTTTCAGTGTCTGACTGATTGTCCTTATAGTATCGAATATTGGCGCAGAAACATTTGAAATCAAAGATTTATTATGCTTACATTTACATTTATTTCATTTAAAATTTCTATGTTAAAAATTTTATAGCTGCACGCATTGCTCAACAATAGTATTTTTGTATAATTACATTTTGTTTACCTCTGGGTGGTTCGCTTCGATTGCGCTGTTTTTTGTTTTGTCTAAAAATTACATTGTTTATGTTTTAGATTTACAAAATCGATGCATAAAATACTTAACAGCTACACTGCTAGTACGTTATAATAATAAATGTATGAATATATATTTATGCGTGTGCGGATGTGTAGGATTTACTTCTTCTTTTAAACATTGTCCTTGTAGCTTATCTCTACTGCTCTTTACATGATACATATACATGAATTGTATGGCTTTTAGCATTATTAAAAATTCTTCAATTGTTTTGCTCAAGTATTTACAATTTTGTAATCAGATCGGCCATATTTAGATTTAGGGAATAACTAATAACTAAAAACTATAATCTCATTGAAAACACTTTTACTTATTGATTGATTTGATGTTCTGTTCGCCTTTTTGCAATACGTTATCAACTTATAAAACTAAACTAAATGAAAGATATGCTATTTACAATGTATACAAATATTATGATATTTCGATGGTGGCAGCTTGGAGAAGATAAATTAATTTTGTTACCACTGCGTAAAACAAGATTCGAAAATTTCGATTTTGTTTAAAATTATATAATCGATATTCAAGCTATTTTCATATACATTTACAAATTATCATAATGTTGCACTTTGCTTAAAGAACTTGGTACTAAACTAATAACTCAATCTAAATTAAACCGGGCTGTATGCGTGTGTGTGTGTGTGTTTGTTTGTTTGTATGTGTGTGTGTGTGTACATGTCTGCTTTTTGTTTGTGCGTTCCACTTCGGATCAGCAAAAGAAAATCCACATGGTATATTCTATCTAACTCATCACATGTGCCTACGGCAGCGTCGACGTTTTCGCTGGCATCGTTGTAGTTAGTGCTGCGACCGATTCCCCTGTTGTTGTTGTTGTTGTTGGTTGATCCAGCTTTTTCTTCTCTTCCGCTTCTGACAAGGGTGGCAAAATGGTGGCTTTAAGCGACGTGGCGGTTGTGCTGTTGCCGGTCGGTGTCTCCGGCGATATGTTACTGGTACACTCGATCTCAATGGGCTGCTCCAATTCCATGTCCACGTACTCAATAGCACTGTCGACATCGTCGTGCATTTCAATTACTATAATACATAGACCATCAATCAATATTTGACCAGTTATTAGCAATTTAGATACTTACTGCGATTTTTAAGCTGCGTATTGGACCCTTGCATCTCCTCCCCAATATCCTCTACAATGACATCATCAAACGGTTGCTTGCTTTTTGCATCATTAGTAAATGTTGTTGTGGGTGCGTTTGTGCCGGCCGCCGCCTTGGAAGCCTGGTCAAGCTCCATTTCCCAGTCGGTTGTATTCAGCACCACCATCGGCGCTGACTTAACGTTTGCCGTTTTCGGTTCCGTCGTCCCATTATCTGCCACAATGATGGGCATGTTGATGATATCAATGGGCGTGTCCTCCGTTATAAGCTGATGCGCCTTAATCTTGGCCAATGCAGACGTCGCTGCAACCGTTGTCTGAGCATTGCTAGTCGCATTGGCGGACGCCGATGGACCTATGACGAGCACATTGGGCTTGGCTGCCAGCAGCTCGGCGCTGGACTTGGGTTTACTGGAGGCCAGCGTAACTGCTCGCATTCCGCTCGTTGGCAAGAACACCAAATTATTCTTGCCAACACCAGCCGGACCCAGGGTTAGAGTGGTGGGCTTGACCTTGGCGCCGCTACCAGCGATGCTGGAGCTGGAGACTACGCTTACGCTGCTTGTGCCGCCCGCGGCGCTCGAGATCACTTGGCTGGGCGTCAGCAGATGCATGCCTTGTATCTTAATTCGCTGCTGTGTCGATTGTGGGGAAGACGGCGTGCCACCGCCAGTGGGCGAAAGTGCGGCACTGCTCACCGTGACGCCAGCTGCGCCGGAAGCGGCCACTGCGGTGACATTTGCTGTGTTGAGTTTGTGTATAATGCTGCCGCTGTGCAGCTTGGCGGGCTGTAGGAACACCTTGCCATTGGGCGAGCAGATTTTGATGTTGCGCAGTGCACTGCTGGGCACATGCTTGATTGCGCTGGCGCTGGTCAGTTTAATATTGCCCAGTATCTGTGACGTGGAGGGTGAACCACTGCCGGCCGTCGTGCTTGTTGTCGTCGCCGACGCCTTGCGAAACAGAGGTGTGCCGGGCGTCACCGAGCTGCTCAAAGGCGTGATCAGTGTGTTGTTCAAGCTGCTAGCCGGTATATTTTTTATAATATTTACAGCTGAGGCGCTGCTCAGAGGCGTGGCTATACTCTGATTCTGATTCTGACTCTGATTGGGCACTCGATCCTCGACAATGTACTTCTGCACAGCTGCCGTAGCTGGCGACTTGCTGGTGGTGCCTTGATTGGCTGGGATTGAGCCAGGCTGCTGGTCGTAGGGCAACAGACGCACGGCTGTGTTGGGCACGGAAGGCAGCTGCTGCTTGTCTATCAAATTGATCTTCTTGGGCGTCAGCTTCGTCCCAGCTGGCAAAATGGTGCTGCTTGTTGTCCGTACTTTCGGGGGCGCTGCAATCTGCTGAACGCTGATTATTTGCGGGGCAAGTGGCAGGTTGGCCGTTGAGATATTAGCAGACGTCGGCTGTGTCCCTATAACAACCGGCTGGCGTTCCTCTACAATGTATTTTTTAACGGGCGTGCTCAACTGTTGCTGCTGCTGTTGCTGTTGCTGCTGCTGCAGCTGCTGATGCGACTGCGCCGTGGGGGACAATTTCTCCTTGAAAACAACAGGCGAGTTAACAAACGCACGAGGCGTCGTTGGCGAAAGCATTTCCGGCGGACCATAGACAACACGTGCCGCAGGTATCGTCTTCAACTTGGTGGCCGCCACCGATTTAAGCGCTTCGTCGAGTATGTATTCCACGTGTGGCTGCACCAGGTGATTGGCATTCGGGTGCGCTGCCGGCTCGGCTGCTGGCGTCGGCGCTGACAATAATACTTTCTGTTGTTGTTGCTGCTGCTGCTGCTGTTGCTCTTGTTCTTGCTGCTGTTGTTGCTGCTGTTGCAGCTGCTGCTTTTGCTGCATCTGCTGTTGGAGCTGTTTTTGTGCTCGCCGCCTTCCGCTCTTCGCAGGCTTCGTGCTGACGCCGACGCCAGGAACGCCGCTGTTGTTGGCCAGCGCATTGCCAGCGCCCTTTTTGCTCGCCACCCGCTGCTTATGTTTCTGCTGCTGCTGGTAAAAGTAACGCTGCTGCAGGGTACGGGCGCTGGGGCGCTGTTCCAACGGCGCCAGTTGACCATCTTCGTCCTTGCCGCCGCTTTGCTGAGACGCCGACTGCTGCGGCTGTCCCAGCTGCCTGTCGTGTTGTGTATTACGCTTTTTGTTAGGTTTCGTGTCGCCCGTTTCGTTCTCCTTCCGCTTCAATGTTGCCTTTTTTATTTCATTCGGCAAGTCGGGCACCTTAAACTATAATCATAAACGATAAGTAATAAGATTATATACATAGATGTATGATAAGAACTTGTGCTAAAATCTAAACTGAATGTTGCATAATACCAATAAAGGCAATGGAAGAAGAAACCACATGGGAATACAAGGCTTACAACTAAAAACTGGCTATGCGGATGGGCAAAGCCAAGTTCACGAACCCAACCTTAATCTGAAAACTTGGCTCGAATCCCAAGTCGATCATTGATCATTTTATATTTCTATTATATTTTAGAAACACTTTCTTTGGAAACAGAAGTGTACACAGAATATGGTCGAATATAACTTACACTCCACTGCAAGTGTCAAATAAACAGATTTACTGACATTGAAAAGATCTCACGTGGATCAACTAACTTAACTGGTTGTCCCGATTAGGGATAGACGGCATCTTACTTACGTCAGAGTTGAATCAGAATATCTTTCCTGCAAATTCATTAAGAATAACATAGCTATATGCATTGCATTACTTTTTAGACCATTTGATTGGGAAGACAGTGCACACGGGGAAGTTTCTTCTTTGTTACGCTGTCTATATGTGCACAGATGTATATGGTAGTTGCCTCTACCGTTGAGGAATGCCTCGCAGTTGCCGTTCCTAGCTAACTAGGCCGCTATCCAGATAAAAATTCAAAAGCCCACATATGGCTTGATAATAACATCCCAAGTATAGCTTGCGGGCCAGGATGTTTTATATTGGGATGGGAGTCATGTTGCTTAGCCTTAGAAGCTCGCTCTATATTGAGGGCATTGTGGAACATTGATCTTGGGTTAGCATTACCAGCCACGTGTCGCTTTTTTATTCCCAAAATGTAATTTTTGATATATATATGAAATATAACCCGTATTTTAAACATTTATATGTTATGGGCAAAAAAATTTAATAACTGACAAAAACAAATGACCCGAAGCAAATTAAAGTGTCTTAATTAAGATGTTCAAAAAAGCGCCAATTTTAAACTGGATTATTGTCTTTTTAAAAATGACCGTTATTATGTGGCCCTTTTTTGATAAATCGGCATTTGATCGATATTAATTGCTTATCGATTGCAGAATTTAGGACTGTAGCAATCAGCTGCCTGTTAATGTAAGTTAACATTACTTCTGCTGTTAACTGACACTGGCTGTTAGAGCTGGAGATGCAGAATTCAATCAAATTTAATTAAGTGCACAACATCCAATAAGCGGCATTTGGCACTAATACAAATTAATAATGTACAAATTGATAGGCGTTCCAACAATGCGCCCAACACTAATTATGCAAACGACTATCTTTTAATAAACCTGCTAAACGCCTGCATTTGAATTGGATCAGTTGGCTACCAAAAGTAAATACCTGTTTCCTCTCCTCTCCCTCTCTCCAAAAAACGCGCGGAGATCTTTAAAAAAACACTAATCAAACCCCCTAAAGATAACCTTGCTTTAGTCGCACTGCCTTTCGGCGCAGCCCACCTTGAGAGCAAATGACCCAGGCGCAGACTGTACTTTCTATGTCCATACATATTCGCACATATGTATGTACGTATATGTTAATGGTCAGGTCAAAAGAATTGCGTTATATAATGCTGGGGCACTTACCGGCTCATCCATGATGACCAGGGGCTCCTGATGTTTTGTAATGCCATGCTTAAGAGTCTGATAGGTTGCCTGTTCGAGAAGTGCTTCGCTTAGGTTTGCCCCAGTTTCATTTGGCGGAGCCAGTTTACTATTTTCCGCATAAGCTTTCGCGGCCAGATCGTTGGCCACAATGCTCAGAGCTGTTTGCGGACAAATGCGTGGCAGCAGCGGATATGGGCGACGACCTTCACGTGACCATTCCTGCCATGTGTTTGGGCCGCAGACGCTGAAAATGCGAGACACGGTCACATATGCACTCGAATATTTAACACTCAACTCCATATAGGCTCTTACTTCTCGGCAATGGTGCACAATTGCTCGTCGTTGGCAGCGCGTCGCACCTCCGCACGGTGGCGTTCCTGTGTTATGTGAAACAGTTGACGCAACTCCTCGAGCAGCTTGGCTTTTGGTTCGCTGAGCGAGCCTTGGGCGCGAAAAACGCTTATTATATGCGAATACGATTCTAACTCTGCTTGAACGATACAAATAAATGGACACCAATTAGCCGAAAATCGAGATCCACTGAAGCTGGGCAGCTGCTGTATAACATAAAGTGCTTCCTCCTGGCGGTGGCGGCAGCAGCATATCACCTACCAAGTCGACGCAGCATGCCCCGACATTCGTCGCGGGACATTTCCAGCGTTTGCGGCCACATGCTGCGCATAGTTTAGAACGCACGACGTTTGAAGCGCTCCAATCCGTTAATTTGCAGCTTAATTTAGCAATTTTCCCAAATGGTTTTCGCGAATCTTGTAACTAAAACAAACTAAAACTCAGCGTTTGCTGGTGCTGATTTTAGTGTTGCAAAGCAATCGATTGTACTATCGATATTATGCGTGACATTCACATCACTATCGTAAGAGCGGTGCATTGCTATCGATACTTTATTGGCTTAGCACACCTTTGTTGAATTTCGTGGCAGGTGCCACGACGTAAAGTTAGAAAATTACAATTTTTAAATTCTTGTTCAAAAAATGAACAATTCTTCACGCGATAGGCGCGGGATTGGTTATGTTTCCCTATATCATACAAAACAAGAGCACAACATTATCTCATAAGACCTGATCAGTTTTATTAGGAACACGCAGTTTTTTCATCATAATTAGGGATCAGTGCGTTGTAAAGATTCAATTGCGCTATTGGCCTACGTAGAGAAACAAATTATTGTACATAAATATTATTTAAAAGACAATATATATATTTTTTGCTTACCGATTTAAACCAAAATGAAGGGATCATGAAACTAATCCGATCGGAAAAGCTCATTTCCGAAACAGGTGAAATCCCATGTAGATGCAAATGGTTTTGCGAAATGAACGGAGGAACATGAAAACCGATCACTGCTTTTGATATATCTACATCCTTTGATGCAAGAAACTGAATCATGCCATTCTGCATGCGCTCAACTAAAAAACAAAACAGCATAAAAATAAACAAAAGCATAAATACAATAAAACAAATAACATAAATACAATCAAACTGTGTAAATAAGCTTACCCAAACTCACCTAAGCCTACGTGGGATTTATTAAGCACCTTTAGGCTGTCAAAATGTTGTTTGGGAATAGCCAAATAATGATACGTAGCAGCAGGTTTTATATCCTTAAATATCACAAATTCATCGTTTTCAAATTCGAGCTTTGGAGGTGTTATTTTACCGCTGGCAATTCCGCAAAATAGACATTCAGATATAGACGAATCATTGTGATCGTTTTCAGTTTGTAACGAGTATTTTATAAAAAGACACAAGGTTAAAAAAGCCAATGGAAAAGAAATAAATCTTTTTTTAAAATATTTTCTAAACCACGAACTGGATTTTTTGTTACACATTTCCAACCAATAAACAAATATAAAAAAACTATCTAGAGGTGGTCATTGAAGTATCGATGTTTTTATTAAAAAATACATGATCGATTATTCTGAAAAACAAAAAAGCGGGAAGATCGAAAGCTAGAAAAGGATGACACTATCGTTTGACTTATGTAACGTACATGAATTTCTATTATAAAGGTTAAAAAAATTGAAATATTTAACCAGAACATTTGAAACATAATTTACAAAACATTTTGCATATTATATTAATCTGTACATTTTTTCTATGTTGTATGATGTAAGCTCGCCGCATACAGCAAGTTTGTTTGTATATTTTGAATATCTCCAACGTTTGATCGCATGTCATTCGAGTAAAAGACGGGCATTATCTTCGAAACGAGTAGTTGCAAACACACTTTATGTAAGTATTTGATAGCTAATTGGTCTAATAGCAATAACTGGATTAAATTGTTGCACAATGCGTGTAAATAATGAATTAAGAAAAGTCATCCTAGTTATCTTTGAAACAAAATAAATCTTTGCAATACCCAAAACAAAGCATAATTCTGCGTTTGGGATATTTAAAGCCTGTAAATATTAAAGTCCCATTTTCCGGCCGTAGTTATCGCTTTTACAAATGCTTCGAGCGCTGCTTCAAAAGCACTAATAAATAGTAATAGTAATATTAATTTTTTTTTTTTTTTGTATAAACTGAAAAATGTAACGCATATTTGATACGGAAATAAATTTGGTCCTAAAGCGGAATACCACTAATACTCAAAAACACAACATTCTTTGGTTATCGATGTATCGATTTAATATGAGAGTAAAGATATATTTGTGAGTTTGGCCACAACTTGTGGCCAAGCACTAGAATTTTCAAAAGTCTATTCCAATGCGAATTAAATGATTAAAACGCAGTTAATATGTTTATTCGATCAGCCAAAAACAAGTTCGAGACCGTGGATGTTGTGCGCAGGCTAAAGCGTCTAGTCGAAGGCACCCTCTCGTCTTACCGGCGTTTGTTTTTGCTTTTGTTGTGTGTGTGCATAGTTTTTTATATGTTACCACCAATCTTTCGTTATTTATTTCTAAGCCCAACAGAACAGAAAGGTAACGTATCTCTGTCGCTCGCATTTTGCTCATCAATAATTACCGTAAACGTAACCGCAATTAGATCCGCACAGCATGTGCATGGACGACCGACTCACGCCCTATATATTGCAGAACTACGAGTATGACGCCAACATACGTCACGTGGCGCCACTGATGCCCGGTGAGCGCGACTATGTGCCCTATGTGGGCAACGGATACATTGGCATTGAGGTCGCGCATGATGCATCATTGAATATAAAGCATGGGCGTGCGATGCAGCTGCCCATACGTTTCCATCCGGTTATGTCTGTCTCGCAGAACGGGGGCGTTGCCGGTGAGAAGGAGGCCACTGTTGTTGAATATCTGACGGGAATGGTGCATCGATTCCAATGCTTTGCCGGCTACTTTGCGTCGTACACGCTCTATGCACATCGCACACAGCCCAATGTGCTGATGCAAGAACTGCAAATAACCAATACACGCAATACGGTTGAAAGCATTGATCTTATAATGCCACGAAATCGTCTACCGAAGTCGACTGTGCGCAGCATTCCGCTCAGGTAAGTCCGGGTCGAAAACTCATCTGGCATATTTAACTAAACCGGCCAATTACAGCGATCCAGCGCAAATAGGCATGCTCACATATAGTGCAGTGGAAGTAATTACAGCATCTGTACAGCCCACTGCGGATGATCCGAGCAAATTGATTGTGATTAGTATTGCAAAACCACAACTGGAGCCAAAAATACAGCTGCGCAAGCGCGGCACCGTGCACATAATTTACCCAATGATCATCGAGTACTCCAAACCGGTTGCCGAGACTCAAGTGATAGCAACCAGTGGGACCATCGAGCAGCATTCCATTCAGGCCATGACAAAGCTGCTGCAGAAGCTGAGTGCCAAGGCATCCGGCTCCGGATCGCTAAACAGCATCAATACATTCCGCCAGGATCACATCAATGTTTGGACAGATCTTTGGGCAACGGGCTTTACGATAAGTACCTCTAAGGCTGAGAACAGCTTAAATGGGGATCGGATTAATGCCACCATGTATGCTGTGCTCTCTCAAGTGCGCAGTTTTGAATTTGAAGATGCGGCTTCCGGTTCGTTCGGGAGCTCTGCAGGCATACGAGAGGACATTGCCAAAGCGTTGACATATGCGGAGGGCTGCTACGATTCCTATCATACGCTTCAGGCGGAGAATCTTTGGCGTGACATGTCAACGCTAACCCAACTCAATTCGCTTGTATCCTCCTGGATGCTTACATTAGAGAAGCAAGGCTGCCACAATCTGATACGCGCCGGCGCCTCGGGCGTCATTCAGGCAATGACACTCAGCTTTGGTAGCTTTCGTTTTAGCAATCAGCATCTGGAATGCAACATGCATCCTAAATTTTTGCATCGCGACTTTCACTTTAGGCGCCTCAACTATGGAAACAAGACGCATGTCAATGTCACAATCACTGTGAAGGACGACAACAAAGCGGTTATCAATGTGGCCCTGGATCGTTCCGATCGCAGTTACTATGCTTGCGATGGCGGCTGTCTGGATGAGCCAATCTTGTTGACGTAAATAGCGATCATAAATACGATTTCATTGTTACCATCCAATGTATCTCATCCCGTTTTACAGACAAAACCGTCGAGAATTTCCTGTCAAATTGACTGAACCACTAACTGCAATATTATATATAACCGAGGACAAACAACACATGGAGGAAATCCATCATGCAATACACGTAAAGGAAGTCGTTGAGGGTAAGCTGCTCTTTGTGTCTCTACATATTTTATCAATTAATAATTCATTTGAATCTTTAGCTCCGGCGCACGAGCAGCACGTTATCGCGCTGCATAAGCATGGACATCAACTGGGCGGCTTGCCCGCACTCTTCTGGGTCTCAGTCTGTGCAATAATCGTAGTATTTCATATATTCCTATGTAAGCTTATTATCAAGGAGTACTGTGAGCCAAGCGATAAGTTAAGATATCGTTATAACAAACCGTGATTCTAGTTTTATATACATACAAAAAACAAAAACAATCAAATTGGACAGACAGAAGAAGCTACTAGTAAAAAAAAAACTTTAAACCAAATGCTGAGTTTTAAATAACAAATGTCAGACATGTTTATCGAACTTTATAAAAATGAATTAAATGAATTATAAAAGTGACAGTTGACTTTAAAGAAAATGTGCTATACAGTAGTTAGATCAAAATTTAAATATATATATATATAGATTAATAAGCGATACTTGGAAAACGGGCTGAATCAGATAAATAAGATGTTTTGCAAGCTAATGTAAGTTTTGTACGTACAATTTAATTAACATTTTTTGTTAATGGCAATTAAACAACTTGCAATTATTTTCTGAGTAATAACCCCTCGAATGACAACTGTATTCTATAAATGAAAATAGACATTCATTTAAATTTACTTAAAATCATTTAAATAGCCATCAACTAAATCCCAAGCCTAAAAATATAGTAAATCAATGTAATCAGATATAGGTTTTGACTTAGACCCCGTCGAGAGTTCCTTAATTTCTTAAGCTTTTTGTGTGCTTTAAAATTGTGACTTCCTTGACGGACTTTTGCTATGGACGTGTATCATCATAGGTAAAAAATAGATTGTGCCTGAAAATGAAAATGTATCTCAATAGTGAAAATATAACTGCCCTATGGCAGCTATTTTATTATAATTGTCTGCCATATAAAGAAAAATGGCTGATTAAATTATGGAGGCAGCTATATAATCTATAAAATGCTTTATTTCAAAGCCAGATATTTGTCGTATGTACAGGATAGGTGTAAGGCAATTGTTGTAACTAATTAACTGCAAGAAGTAGCTATAAATGCGTATAGAAGCGGATAAGGGGCTTCATAACGATCTCTCCACTAGCATTATTTATTTGGTCACCTTATGTATGCTCTCGGCCAGGTACTCGACGTTCTTGCTTGTGACGCCGGCCATGGAAATGCGGCCATCCTTCGTAAGGTAGACGCTGTGATTTTTGATCAGGCTGTCAACCTGTTCAGGCGTGAGGCCTGTAAAGCAGAACATGCCAATCTGGTTGACAATGTGCTCCCAGTTGTGCGTGGAGCCCAGTTTCTCGAGATTGCTCTTCAGTTTTGAGCGCACGTCGATGATGCGATCTGCCATGCCTTTAACATCCTTTAGCCATTGGCTGCGCAAGTCAGCGCTATTGAGAATTTCGGCGGCAATGCGTGCACCATGAATTGGGGGATTCGAGTACAGAGCGCGAATAAGGATCTTGATCTGTGATAAACAGCGTGCTGCCTCCTGCTCATCGGCACAGATGACGGAGTATGTGCCGGCACGCTCGCCGTACAGACCCATGTTCTTGGCGAAGCTTTGCGCCAGGCAGAAGTCGTGACCATCTGCCTCAAAGATGCGCACCGCCTGAGCATCGCCATCGACGTTGCCGGTAGCAAAGCCCTGATAGGCCATGTCAAAGAATGGATAGAGGTTGCGTTGTTTAAACAGCTGGGAGAGTTCGCGCCATTGCTCCGTGCTGGGATCCACGCCCGTTGGATTGTGGGCGCATGCATGCAGCAGCACAATCGACGTTTCAGGGATTTTCTATTAAAGAGTAAACAATTTGAATAAAAGCGGAATCGGCTGCTTTGTTACCTCACCTTCAGGTCCTCAACCATGCCGCCAAAGTCCAGATTGCAGTTCTTTGGGTTGTAGTAGCGATAGCGCTTGACCGGCAGACCAGAGTGCTCGAAAATGGGCACATGGTTACCCCACGACGGCGTCGGCAAATAGATCTCCCGGTTTCCCTGCCAGAATTTGCTCAGAAAGGCACCGCCCACACGTAACGCGCCAGTCCCGCTGATCGCCTGTGTTGTGGCATTGTGCTTGGCCTTCAGGCGCTGCGATTGCTCGCCCAACGCCAGCTCGATCGCCTTGTTGTAGAAATCGGGCAGACCAATGATTGTGGCATACTCCTTGTCCAGGGCGCGACCCACCAGACGTTTCTCGGCCTGACAGCAGAAAGATGACAATTAACTGTCTAATTGAGAAGGCAACCAACTCGCAATTACCTCACGCACGCTGGGCAGCACAAATGGTTTTGTGTTGTCGTCCCGATAGGCACCGGCTCCCAGATTGATCTTCTTCGGATTTGTATCCTTCTTGAAGGCCTCCGTGACACCCAAAATGGCATCGGGTGGACCCATTTTCACGTCGGAGAACCATGTCGATCTAGCATTTAAGAAAAGTACAAATTTTGAGTTAATATAATTGAAAATATAGATTCATTTTAATAAATAGGAATGAAAGATCAAAATTCTAGAATAGATAGAAACTTTGAATACAATTTTTTGTTGCCAGTTCTTTAAGATTTGTGTCTAATCTAAGTTCTAACTTTCATCTTAATATTAGATTTCGAAGCTGAAGCTAAATATAGCACAATTTTATCGCAGTTCCCGCTATAAGGGTATTTAATCTTCGGCATGCGTGAAGATTATATTATGGTTGTTCATTGCCCCCAGGGTAATTTTATTTGCACTCTCGATTTTCACAGACGGCCGTTTCCTGAACTTATCGACGAATTAATAAATTATCTTACCTATTCCACTTCACCAAAAAAAAAAAGTTTGATTAGTAAAATAATAAAAACAAAAAAAAAGCAAAGCAAAAAAAACGGTTGAGTTTGAAAGTCAAGTGTGGGTAAATATTTGTGACCTTTCAAACCCCTCTAGGTTGACGTCTTAACACAGTGTTGCACATTTCGCTTATCGCACTTTGGTGTAAACAAGCCTTATTACTGTTCATCTCAGATTAACGGGATTGACACTAGCCTACACATTTCAGCCCAGAGATAACGAATTGATTTCCTTCTTCGTATAAAACTTGTTTTTTTCTCCAAAAAATATGAAGATATATATCATATTAATTATTTACGAAACGTGCAGCCCATTAGAAAAGTTTCCGGGTATGAAATTCAATCAAATTCAATGAAAACAAAGTTGTGTCTAATAATGGAGGCATATAAACAGGGCTTGATAATAATTGAAGGTACATTATGCTGCCTGAAGAACATATGCATATAAAAACAGAATATAGGTAACTGAAATCGTAGGAAAACATGCCATTGTACTACCTGACGATACCTGATAGTTAAAAAATAGATAATAAAATCGTTCACTTGAAATACCTCGTTAAAGCCTTTAATAGGGGTGTACGAATTAGCGTGTTCGCCCAAACGTGAATGTACACACATTTGCGAGTACCTAGAAACACGGTTGCCACTTGGAAATGCAATGAAAATGTACATACATATGTATTTTTACCAGAAAATAATAGGAAAATTTAATAAGGGTATAAAAAAAATATTCCTTTTTTAAAATACTCACATGGTACTAATACTAGGGATATTTATAAAGTACCTTTTTTAAAATACGCATAGGAATAACGCTTTAAATGAATGTATTTGTACTTCTAGTATTAAAATATTTCTTACTTTACTTTTTATTCATGAGCATTTGGAAAAAAAACCTGAAAACCAATTATTTTGAAACATAGTACCTTTACATTAAGTACCTACTTTGGTACATTTGTACATGTGGCAATCGTGCCTACAAATGCAGGGAAAGCATGGATTTTGATAATATAAACAATAAAACATATGTGTATCTTTATATATAATGTATATACACACATACATATATATGTAGCCACATTTTTATAACGCAGAGATAAAACACTGGAGAATATTTTAGTTTTCACATCCAATACATACACAAGTAGACTTTTTAACATATATCTATATGTATTAAAATACATATGTAAACTTGTAATATTTAAATACATACATACACATACATATATAGAGGGTTGCGTGTCGTATTGACGTTTGCATCACACTTATACATGGATATGTACAGACATATCTATACACATATGTGACATAATATAAATCGAGGCAAACAAACACTAAATAATCCAGCGGGGCACGCACACAGGCAACACTCTCTCACACACACACTCACACATAGGCAAGTAGAACGCATAGACCGGCATTTGAGATGACCTTGGCAAATGACACTGCATCGCATTCTGACGTGTAATAGAGCGCAACAACAACAACAAAAACAACAAGAGCGAAAACAACGAAGATTGAGACTTACTTGCAACGTAAAACGGCTGGTGAATTAATGACGACTCGGTTTGCTGTCAACAAGCTTCGTTTACAAATCTGCGACATGTTTAAAAATGTGCTTAAAAGTAGAATTTATTGGAAACAACTTAAATGCCGCCAAAATGCTGCGTCGACTGCGGCCAAAGTGAATCTAACCAAGCGGTGCCAACTGGAATCATTAGCAGAAGCTTTTTGCTAGTGATGTGCAAGAAAGAAACGAAAACATCGAAAAGAGATCAACACAAATGTTAAACAGCGGTGAATGACAGCGAATTAGTTGTGCGAGCGTTACATCGATAAAATTTAAAAAATAATGTATATAATTTTGGTAGTAAACTAATTTTTCTTATTAGGCTCTAATAAGCAGAATTGATATTGCCTATTAGAATGTTACAGTTCAAACGGAGTTCTGTTAATTAACAGAGGTGAACCAGAAAGCTTTCTTGCCAATATATTGTTTTGCAATCGGCTCCGATAAGTATCGATAGAAAAGCTGCCATCTGCGTGAGGCGCGCAGCTGATTCTGGCTTTTGCCTCTGTTTCTTTCTGGTCATATTTCAGTTGTAGCCAAGGCATTGTTGAGAAAAATATATAAGTCTACTACGTTCAGTGTCGTATCGCCTGATCTTTTAATTGAATTAAACAAAATAAGCGACATGTTCAAGTTGTGCGTGCTTATCTCGTCGCTGCTCTTGGCAATGCAGCTTGGAAAAGCTCTCGAGTTCCAAGATTGCGGCTCTAAGACTGGCAAATTCACCCAAGTCACACTCGAGGGCTGTGATACCACAAAGGCGGAGTGTGTGCTACGAAGAAATACGAATGTGTCAATATCAATAGATTTTGCATTGGCCGAAACGGCATCAGCCGTAAAAACGGTCGTACATGGAAAGATCTTGGGCATTGAAATGCCCTTTCCGCTAAACAATCCAAATGCATGCCTCAACAGTGGCCTTAAATGCCCATTAGAAAAGAACGAGGCTTACAGATATACAGCTACGCTGCCCGTGCTGAAGAGCTACCCAAAGGTCTCCGTGCTCGTCAAATGGGAGCTACAGGACCAGAACAGTGTGGATATCGTGTGCGTGGAAATACCCGCCAAGATACAATGATCAGGTTGATCACATCGAAAACTGTTAAATTCGCAACAACTGAGTTCTTATTGTCATCTAATTTAAAATAAAGAAAATAAAATTAACCTTAAACGATTTTGTGTGTGGAGAGAGCGCGAGCGCTTACATATTTCGGACGCTTGACATTGCTCTCATTTGCTCTCATTCGCTCTCATTTGCTTTTATTGCCTTTTCCGCTATGTGCGATACGTTGATAAATGGAGGTGAACAAACCGAAAGTACTTTGGGCTTTCAATTGACTGCTTATTTTTGGCTCTGCAGATTCGAATCATATTCTAAAAGCGCATTTTCCTTATCCACATTTTTGTCAATTGACACACGTACATGTGTATGTGTCTGTGTGAGTGTGTGCTGAATGACTGACTGATGATCAACGTACATACATATGTGTGTGTGTAATGTATGTGTGTATGTAAGTGCACGCTAAGACGAGCTTTTTTGTCCGATCGGACTCTGAGCTACGATGATCTATCAGATCAGTAAAGCATTTTATTGTCGATCTGCTAAATATTTTATGCAAATATCTATTGTAGAGAATTCATTTAAGATGCATACATATATAATATAAGTATAGTGGGGAGTGCTGCTTACCAGGTTCATGAGCTGGTCATAAAAAAGTAAGAATCAACAACTATACTTACAAGTTAGTAAGGTAAAAATGCAGCTGATTAAGAGGAAATTGAATTCTTCAAGGCGCAAGTTGCATAAGTTTCTTCTAATCAGCAAAATCAAAAATGTAGCCAAGATCAGCTAAAAGAAGCTTCATCGGACTATTATATCATATAGCTATAGTAGGTCAAGTGCATTTAATTATCGGCATGCTGAAGAAAGCTGTTCTTACTTTGTTTAAATAAAGTTTACCAATATGAATATGCCGTGCAGGTGGGCAGCAGGTGGGCAACGACTCACTCAACTCAACTCAACTGACTGAGATAAACGTTTCCAATTCCGAGCGTTCCGGACTAACATAGCTTTCCAATCACCCTTAGATCGCTTTTTGGCTCAAGTCCAGAGTTTGCTATTGCTTTAGCAGCCCGGACTAGGGTTCACTCAAACAAGCATTTCTTTGTGCGTTCATTTGATTTATTTGTACAGGCGACGCAGCTGATTATGACTAAGAAATCAAATGAAAATAACACTGACTCAAGTTTAGCTGAGTATTCGTTCGTGTTCATGTTGAGCAAGTAATTGCATATACATATAGAGCTTAGGCTAGGTTAAGGCAGTTCTTCAGTCGATTCACTTGGACAGAAGGCACAATATATGAAATACTGAGCTCCAGCCCGAGGCACGAATAAAGTTTATAATGAGCTTAGTTATTTACAAAGATCTGTTAGATCCACAAGGAGATAGTTGAATAGGTCAACTTCTATACGACAACCTCGGCAGGTTCGAGGGAGCTACATAGGTGTCCGGCAGGGGCCTATCTAGCCGAGACAGCTTTGTGGAGTGTGTTCTACAGCGAGTCGGGATCCAAATGTCCACAATTGTCTTCGGATTAAAAGCTTGCAACTCGTGTTTTGTATATTCATGTTAACTTATCGCAGAGATTTTGTGAGTTGAGCTTAGTCTGAATCAATATTGTGAATCCAGCCCGTCGCTCCCGGCAAATTCCTGACCACATTTGCCAATGTAGTGGCAATCTTCTACCACGTCCACTGGCGCCCAGGAATACGTGCAACTGCTCGACAGCTGGGCACGCATGTGGAATATTGAGCAAAATGCCTCAAAGTTTCCTGGCGGTCAATTTCACACTGAGACGTGGCAAGGCTCTTGATGGCAGGCACCTCCTCTACATCCTGGCAGATGCCGCTTTCCTGGGACTTGTGATTGACATAAGACTTTGACTTTTATAATACCTTTTAATATATACAGGCCATGATTAGTTCTTGAACAACGTACACTTTTAGACAGCATTCGTACCAGAGGATATATTGTAAAAAGGATATATTGTGCAAATGTATGTTACAGGCTGAAGCAAGCATCGGCTACCCTATAAAGTATCTATATATATTCTTGATCAGCATTAAAAGCCGGATCGATCTATGTCCCTCTGTCTGTCCGGCAGTTCATATGCAAGAAGGAGTCGATCTCGGTCGATCTAGAGATTTTAAGTTCTATACGTAGAGTCGCCTGGTGCCCGCGCAGAACGAGTTAGATAATCGATAACTTAGCCCGTTTTCGAGAAATCGATAAGGATCGATATGAAAATCCAATTTTTTTCAGAACATAGCTCTCGTTTTAAGAGCTAGAGTCATTACATTTGGCACATAACTTCTAGAATAGTGTGCACAAATCATTTAAATTGCATTTTCTGAGCCGGGTTTAATTTAATCGAGTTAAACAGAAAACAGTCTGCAGACTGAAGGAAAATGCCCATAGTTTGACCTTACTATAATCTGCATTTTATTGAAATTAATCATATGGTAAGGCTCAATATGTACGACATTCGTGGGCTCCGGTCCCAACAGCTGGTGTAATTGTCATGATTATTGCCGGAACATTTTAAATGCGGTTTAATTTGTTTGTATGTAAAATGTTGGCAAAATGTTATTGAAAGCATCGTGTGTGAAATAACTGTGATTAAAAAGAAATTAAATTAAAATTAATTACATTTTGCTTACCTTTTATCAATGCACCTGTGCCTGGGCCAACATGCCTTTATGTTTCATCGACAACACCTGGACTTATGACAAGGCTGGCATATACAAGTAATCCATTAAAAACTATCTGTTGAAAAGAATTTATATGTTTAATGACAAAAGAGATATAAGTCGAAGGGTACAGTTTACTTCACAACTGAGAATTTCAGCGATTACAGAGCACTTGTTATCTTTTATCATTCGGAAACTCGATGAACACCTGAAAGAAGTGCAGATCTCAAAAAAATAAAGAGTTCTTTTAAATAACTACCTTTAATACTTTTAAAATATTTCTTCAAGCTCACAGATGCAGTCTGACAAAAGGCAAAGAGAAATTCAAAGAAGTATATAAATGTAGTTTAAAATGATTTTAAGCTTTTTTCTAAAAGAACATTAAACTAGTTCGGTTAACAGTAACAACTATTAATTAATACAATAGTTGCTTAGCCTCCTTTTTCTAGTTATAAGTAAGCCCGAGCACTCCACGAGATCAGATAATCCTTTAGCTGCCTTTTACAGGTAGGTATTCAGGTGTGCTGAGTTTGATCTTAAGCTATTTTCAGTTTTCTAATGCAGGCGAAAACCAACAATAAATGCTATTTAATGCTATTCTGAATCAGATGGGGCGACAAACTGTATTTAATCTGCGGCATGACTGAAATTGCTTTTTAGAATATCATCATTAAATACAAAAGCACATCTTCTGGGCACGGGTAGCTGCTCGTGCAGTGGCTTTATTGAAATTCAATTTGATGGACATCAACCTGAACGTATTGGTTGGCGGTTGCAGCTCCTGGCGCTGCTCTTCGACTCATTAAATATTAATTGTAAATTTTAATTAAAATAAACCGTTGCGACTACGGCAGGAAGTCGATGCTGGCCATGCACACTATTTGCCACTGATGGCCAGAGTAATATTGTTTACTGATTTTCCCATTTTCCCCCCAGACTGTTCGGCAAACGTGGTCGCAAGTACCAACAATTATGGGTTCTTGTGCAACTGCAAGGATTATCAATAAAAACCATTAATTGCCAGGCAAACTCTGCTCTGCTGAGCTGGCATGGTAATCGTGTATAATGCAAAATAATCAAATGACAAAGTGCTGCGATGTCCTTCACGACAACTACGATATGTCTTGCATAATTTGCATAATTTCTTTGACATTACGCTTTAGGTAACGTTCTGTTGAATAAGCTCGGGCTTTATAGTTCCAAAACAACATAACTCCGCGCGGTGATATGACGCTCCAAAACGACAAACCTTCGCGCGGGAGATATGACGTTCCAAAACGACATAACTCCGCGCGGAGTTATCCAAATGTATGTAACAGGCAGAAGGAAGCTTCTCCGACCCCATAAAGTATATATATTCTTGATCAGCATCAATAGCCGAGTCGATCTAGCCATATCCGTCTGTCTGTCCGGCCGTCCGTCCGTCCGTCCGTATGTATGAACGCAAGGAACCTATAAGAGCTAGAGACTTGAAATTTTAGATGCAGATGCTCCTAGTTCCCGCGCAGATCGAGTTTGTTTCCGATAATTGATAACTTACTCCGTTTCCAAGCAATCGATTCCAAAACGAAATAACTCCGCGCGGGAGATATGACGTTCCAAAACGACATAACTCCGCGCGGAGATATGACGGAATATGAATATGACTCGGAATACCCTTACCCTTAATACCATGTTGAGCTTCATTTAATTTGAGTAAATAATACAAAATCGCTTTACACATTTAACTGTTTTTATTTCCGTATTCCATATTATCCATATCCTCTTAACATCTATGTGGTTTATTTGCATTTTAGTTTAGTTTATTTTATTTTATTTTTTACTTGTATTTTCCATTTAATTAGGCCTATAAGAATTCACATTTATTATCGATTTGCTATGCCATTTATTTCGTTTTTCTTTTCTTTCAACAACATACATTTATTTTTTTAAATTTTTATTTCGTATCATTTTTGCTTTTTGTTTTTTTTTGGACTTTTGTAAAATTCATCAAAGTGAGTTGGTTTTCTTTTGTTGGGAAGATCTTAGCTTATCCTATATAAATGGTTTGTTTCGCATAAACAACATTGATGTAGAGTGAGGCTTTGACATTGAACGAGTATATTGAAGAGTTGACAATGCATATGTACTATGTATTTATATATGTATACCGTTGGATTGCCCTTAAACGATGTCTCCCAAAACAAATGCAACTAAACTACATTGATAAAAGAGCAGAATGTTGGCAGCGAAATTGGCAATGATTGAACATAGTAATTATAAAGCATTCTCCATGCGGATAAGTGGATTGCACAAAAAGTCTATCACAGAAGATACACATAAACACAAGGTACCAAAATTTAGCAACAATAACAACATTAACTTAGACTACAGTAGACTTGATTCAGATACGACATCTAACGCCAAAATAAAGCCAGCCCCAAGACCGAGACCAGCACGTGGCAGCCCCATCCTTGCGGATTCCAGTTGGGAGCCGCTGCTGTGGCAAAAATCTTCACGTTGCTCCAATCGCTGAGTCCGGCCAAGTTGCGCGAGGCGGCGCGCACCAAATAGGTCGTATTCCCCTCCAGATGGGGAATAATGAAACGATGACCTGCAGGAGTAGTTCTTGTAAATAGTTCGAAAGCAAGGCTAGCGACAGATAGAGTTCTACTTGGTTCTACGAGTTAATAAATAAAATATTAAATAAACAATTGTAAATAATCGGTTTCCATGTTATTTATTACTAACGGCTATTGCCCGGCCTTGCCCGGACCATGTTTTTTTCCCGCTTGCAACGTTTGACTGTCAATTTCTCCACTTTCTCGGTTTTTGTGAAAAGTGTGAAACACATGTCAAAGGAATTTTCATGATGATCTTGAAAAACTAGTTTTAGCTCGATTGGATGGTAAATAAACAACAAAGTTTCACAGAACAGTGTTCCGCGTTTTTTCCACACTTGCGGGTGGAATTTCTTCTCTTACTAAAGTAAAAACTTAATTTTTCCAGATTTCAGAGTCTGATCAGCTAAAATATATCTGTGATTTTGAGAGTTCCATTGTGTTCTAATTGAAGAAGTTTAATAAGGACAATATTTGTTTGTTTTTCTGAGCTTAGAACTAGGGAGCTAGGAGAGTATGTTGAGAGATGTTGTCATTGGTGTGGCATAAGTTGAGAAAGAAAAGGTGTTGGGGCATCGATATTTTTTATGGTATTTATCCAAAACGGAGTCTTAGCAGCTCGTCCAGGTCTGTGTTTGGTTTGATTTAATAGTTAAATAGAGAAGGGAATTAAAGTGTTTCTGATAATGTTTTGTTAATGTCCATGTTTCCTAACCTCAAATGTAAATATTCAGAGTAGCCGTGAGTTGCCTGTTCGTACAGTATAAAAGTCCGATTCAATACTGTTTTTACCAAACTACGACTGTATATCATATTAAAACTCAGTTATTATACTCTGTACAAAATACGAAAAAGAGTTGACAGGCTTTAAAATGTACGCCAAGCTGCTTGCCTGCCCTTAAAAGCCATTATGCCCATTGCCGCTGGAGACCTAAGCCTTCGGAGATGTATTCGCCTCAGACAATGTGTTAAAATTGCTTGGCCACGCCCACTTGAGGGCGTGCGAGTGGGAAATGCAATGTCTGCCCGAGTCTTAATGCTAGAGTAGCCAACTTTGACAGTAGGTTATTTATGAGCTGCTCTAACGATGAAGCTTACAATGCGAATAGCAAAATATCAATATTTTCTAGTCACACAGTTTAAAGGTCGTTTCTGGGCCCTTACAGTTTTAGAGTAGACAACCAAAATTTCAAGAAGTTACTTTTCGACTAACTAGTTAGATAATTAGACTGATAAAAGAGTATTGCGTCGTCGGTACCAGCCAAATGAAATATTCTCTTTATGCTCTTATACGTGACGTGCTGCCTAACTTTTCAAGAAAGGATTTATAATGTCGGTCCTCTGTTAAATCAAAATAAAATAAAATGAAATACAATAATTATGTAAATAAAAACAAATGTTCGATTGGAAAAAGTGAAAGGAATGTATAACCTACCTCGATGGAAGGAGAAATCCCGCTGCTTGGCATGACTCCAATTGCCGGCGCTGAATTTGAAATCGCTTTCGCTCATGTAGGCAACGCGATAGCCATAGATTTGCATCTCGTCCGAGACGTTGGTCATGCGGGGCGTACGCAGGTCCAGCTCGAAGCCGTCGGGAAAGAGGCGCTTAAGCTGGAATCGCGTCGGTCCGATTGGCTTGGCGCCGGGCCGCAGCTTGATGATCCGCTCCAGCATGCCCAGCGGATTGGCCACCTTGCATTTGTAGTCCCCGAACTGGCTGGCATTGCGTATATACAGCTGCAACGTGGCGCCGTAGTCGGCCATGAAGATGCGATGATTGAAGCCCACAATACCTTTGCCATTGTGCAGCCACGTAAACGATGGCGGCGGCTCGCCCATTGCATCGCAGCTCAGGTTGACAGAGCCGCCAACGTAAGCGTACTGCACCGGCAGCGTTTCATTGTAGAACCATTGAGGCTTGTCTGCAATAATGGTCAAAGGATGTTAGAGTAGGTGTGTGTGTGTGTGTGTGGGGGGGGGGGGGGGGGGGGGAAGGTGTGGTCCCCTACCCCCCCTTAGACCCGCATAACTGTTCACAGCTGCACACAAAATAGATAGATAGATAGAGGCGGAGGAGGTTGAAAGCGGCTGCCTGGCTAAACCTATGCTCTTTGTCGTTGTCTTAAAAAAATGCCCCATCAGTTACGCTTTTTTGCCTGCAACGTGGCGACTTGCATCTATTTAACCAAAGCTGAATCGCAGTCAGCAACCCGCTCCGGCTCCATTCAGGCGCAAACTGATGACACATTTCACCATTTGTGTGTCGTGTTGTCCTTGTCGACGTCATTGCAGGGGCTCATTGAAGTTTATTGCCCAGGAAATGCAAACATATATATTGCAGATTTGCAACATTTCAACTCGCCTCCAACTGGCTGCTGTTTGCTTTTGGGGTAGCCCTTTCTGCAGTGGGTCAATAAGGCGGACTGGGTCCGGGCAGGGCCGGGGCAGCTCTCTCTCACCAGGACTCCGGCAATGGTCGGCAGTCATTAGTGAAATTTTGATGGTAATGGCAACTCAATTGCAGGGGGTCGAGGTGGTGAGGGGACGGGGATGGGGAGACGGACAGGAAGAAGCAAATGAATGTTGGCAATTGCTCGGCTCGTGTTAGTTTGCCCAGAGAGCAGACATTGGCCCATTGGCCATGTTAGGCGAGCCATGTTAATTCGAAACTGTTTAAGCTGCCAGCTCCTTGGAGCCGTGAGTCCTTTGAAGAGTCTAACATTCGTAGTTACATACAAAACGACATAACGACGGGCCTTTGAGTCAATTGTATATTGGGACATTCGCATTGTTTCTTTATCAATATTGACAGCATTTGAAATTAATGGAATCTAATAGAGAACCCTGAGAGAGAGAGAGAGAGAGAGAGAGAGAGAGAGAGCGAGAGAGAGAGAGAGAGAGAGAGAGAGAGAGGAAATTCTCAACCAACATAGATAACAGTTACTAAATAAATTAACTAAGCATTATCTTTTTTTTCCCCTCTTCATTGATAACTATTTTTAAAATATTAAATTTGAATGTTTTGATTTTTGGTAGAAAGAAAGGAAACTAGATTTTTTGACAGTGAAATTCTATTTAAAGTGCAGCTGATATCAAAATGTCAATAAATGCTCCCGCAGAAGAAACATAATTTAAGCTTGTGAGCTTTTAAAACAGGATTAATATAAACTTATTTCAAGCTCAAGCTGGGATTGTGTTAAGGACTATACTAGTCTTATTTCAAGGTGAAATGGGGCTGGTTTAAGTATTGGCTCTCTTAAGTTTTGATCTTATTTTAAGAGTTATTAAGACTTGATTCAATACTATTCCGTTCTTAATAAAGCTAAAAGACGTAACAAACAAAGCTTGTTTGTACCTAAAACGCTTTACTTGAAATAAGAATTTCATACTTGAATCAAGTATTATCGGGCTTACTTGATTCATGTATGAAATTCTTGATTGGAAGTGTGCAACGTTTCTCAATGGAGCCTGTGTCTGAAATTGTTTTGTTCTCTCGGCACTTACGTTGAATCCTCAAGAGTATCGTTATTTGATCAGAGTCCGAAAATGTGGGCGTGATTCGCATGGCGCGACACGTGTACTCGCCGGCATCGGATTGGCTCACGTTCCTGATGAACAGTCCGTCGGAGAGGCGTTTGTGCTTCGTTGAGTTCACGGCTAAACGGCGGATTAAGATATGGATTTAGCAGAATTCGCACCTTTGCTGTGTCAATAACTAACTGTTAATATATTCGCCGTTGTGCAGCCAGGAGACCTCCGGCACGGGCTGGCCGTTCACAAAACAGTTGACCATGGCATCGCGTCCCTCGCGCACCGATTGCACCTGCTCCGTCTTGTCAAATGAAATCTTTTCTGTTTGCCAATTGAGTAAATTTATATTATATACTAATAATATAATATATGGCTCATAATTACTTTATGATATATACAACATGACATGACAATTTCTGCTATACTTTCCCCAAATATTAATATAGCAAAAACTTTTCCTATAAGGCGAACACCCTACTTGGGCAGGCATTTGCCTCTCCCCATATATTAGGCGAACGCTCCTCTTGAGCGGACAGTCCCCCTAGAGAGTTTTCTTTTTATGCGACTTGTCTGCAATACCCATAATGTAGTCTCTCCTGCCTCTGGCTCATTGAGATTTATATATGCCTTTCCGGTATCAAAGCAATATATTCCATTAATATATATGTAACATATGATTGCATCTATAGAAGCGAGGCATTCTTCTGACGATTATCAAACTTTGTGAAATAAAACTCTTTACAGTCAAATCTTAATGTAACTGGACAGATGACGCTGCAACTCTTAGGTCCCTATGCAGAATTCTGAGACAGTGTCTCAGCTTTTGTGCACCTGTTTCATTGGAACCTATTTTCCTTTGCATTTGTCAGATCTCTCCAAGCAAAGTCCGACATGCATTTAAGACCTTATCCGTGCCTCGGGGTGGAGCTTAGTGCTGCCTCTATTGTTCCTTCGTTCTCTGGGAATTCGGGAGCTATCACAAATTTTAACCAGTAATGCTCTAAATTAGTCGAGGGCAAACTGGCCTACTTAATCTAAACTTATGTCAGATGCTAGTCCCAACAATGCTACGGCTTGGAATGATTGCTCCATGGCCCTAACTTTTGGAGCAGCAAATTATAGAGCTTCATCGCATAAAGTCAAAAAGGAAAATAGACTTTTTTTTGCAGAGTGATATAGTTCTCATTATTCCGAAGATATTTGCTGCTTCTATATGGCTCTTTAAGTGTTATATACTTTACAGGAAATTGTTCTCTCATAATAAACCCAGAAATAAAACTCTATAGCTAACAGCTGGAATCGTGGCATGTCGATGGGGCGGTAGCTGGTAGTCAGGGAAAACAACTTAATCTCTGAGCATATTTTGTAAGTATAGACAAATATTTCTTTTAGATTCCCATGACTCGGTCTTGAACTTACGATTTACGAGAAGCTCAAAGGACTTTCTTGCTTCCCGTGCTGCCGATGAATCCATTTCGCAAGTCCAGTTACCCTTGTCGTCCAATGAAATGTGCTCGAAGACCAGGGCGAGTAAGCCTAAGAAGGATATGTTGGACATTGGCTAGCTCTAAGGATAACTCTCTGCATGGACATCAGGTCTGGCAGGCTCTCTTCAGAGATTTCCATAGCACTTCGGCACTTACCCGTCTTCTTTTCGATATGGACCCGTCCCTTGGTGTTTTCACGGGTCTGGCCCCTGGGATCACGCCACTTGGTGTCGATGTCCTTTTGTACTGTTTTGCAGAAGATGATGAAGGAGTCATTTACAAAATGGGTTATCGACGGCGTCGAGGGCGTCAGCGTGAGGGGCGCCGACGGCTGCCGGGGCAGAGTGTCACCCACGGCGGTGGCGGAGTTCTCTAGGTCCCCGACTCCAAGGACTGCAGCTGCTGTAAAAATTGTTAAATGTATTGAATTTATCATTTTTTCTATAATTTGGCAGGGACAGCAGCTTCTGCACTCTATCAGAGGGCGTGGCTGATGAGCAGCTGTCAATATGCGATGGAAGGGAAGAAACGATATTCTATGCACAATTTCAGGACAAGATGGGAACTTAACTCATAAAGATTGGAATAAAAGTGGGTCAACATTTTTATTTGCCTTTACATAGATTTGATTACCACTTCTGCGCCAGTCAACAGTGCCCGACTAGCAGATACCCTATTCCCAGCGCCGAGTTGTCTAAAGGAAATATTCACCCTTTTTTCAATACATTTCATGTTTTCCCCTTATTCCCATTAAAAAACCTATAAAAGGGTTTTAGCCACATTGTAAAAGTCTATTCAACAGGCTTTATAAGTCCATAAAATGTATATATTCTCTACTTACACACAGATACAGAAGATTTTTTAATTTTTTAATTATACTTTTACCCCTAAATGACTTTTTAACTTTTGGCATAAATTATATAAATTACCCGGTACAGGGTGTCGCCTAGTCGGATACTCCCCATTCGAGCAGTCCTGCTTGTCATGCTCAGCTCACAAAATAGAAAAAGACTATGTTGCTTTTTGAAATATTCCTTTTGCTGACAGAATTTTGTATGGCATGAAATTCGCAATATGTTAATATATTCTCATGAAAGTGCATTAATTATTGAGGCACGCCCATTAGGTAGCTGGAGTCGCCAAATTTGGTAGAAAAATCATCGATGATTTTCTCAAAAAAAAAAAAACAAATTGTAAAAAGCTCCCTTAAAGTTGGATAAAAAATATTCCAGCTGGCAATCAGAAAACAACTCTTTAGACGTGCTTTCAAGTTTTTAGAAATTGTTTTTAAAATCAACTTTTTTTTAAAGTCTAAGTTCTATCACATTGAGTGCAAAATAACTGACTTAAAGTATGAATATAATTAAATTTATATTTTTAACTTAAAGCTCAAAATCATAAGTTAATAAATAATATGGGGGCGGAAAAGTGCTAAGTGTCATTTTGTTAAATTTCATTTGAGAGAAATCAAAATGATTGAAAATTTCTTAAATTTCGAGAATTTATTCTCAAAGGACTTTTCGACTTTAATTATTGTTGTCATTCAAAAGTATGCACATAAATATTATCAATTGAAATTAATCTAAATTAATTAAATTTAGTTGGAGACTTAAAAAAACAGAGATAAGAGTCTGTGGTTCTTAAATTCTGCGTTTATCAAGGCTAGATTAATATCTTGTATTATATTTTATGTGCTGCCCTATATTATCATATATGCATATCATATCATATCATGCTTTTACGAGCCCATTAATTATTTTATTTTTGAATGATAGCATATAAAATCCACAGTTGTAAATTGCCGCTGGGTTTGACCCGGCAACCTTTCGCTTGTTGGACCGACACTCTGGCACCTAAGGCCCACAGGCTGACGTCACGTTCGCACTTTTTTGGCTTGCTTTTTATTTGATGGTTTTCATAAAAACATTTACTGCTATTTTGCCCTACCTGTATCTGTATCTTGTATCTCACATTCGACCTGAAAGGAAACTTGCGTTCTGATCGCCAATAAGTCAGGCCAAACTCGCGCAAGTTATTCGAATTATCGAATTTAATTTAAAGCAAAATATAGATTTTTTGCTTAAATTATATAAGGCAGCATTTCTTACCATTTCTTGCCAACTGAAGCAGGCAGCAAAATAATATGAAAATATCCATTATACACATGTAAACAGTTTCTATTTTATTCGGCTGTGATCCTTTTATATGATTGCTGTGATACGACGTAATCCTGCGGATAACTTAAACTTCGCAGCTTGTTTTTGTTTGGAACAATCGTTAATTAACTAATTACGGCTCACTTTTGGCGGACAATGGGCCAAGAGTCGCAAAATAATTACTCATGGGTCGACAGGAGCCGCAATTGTCGGACCTGCAACACTTTCACTTTGGAGCACACGCGCGCGGATGACATCATCGCCAGGGACAAGGACCGAGACGGTGGCATCATTATGGCTTGCGATATTTTCGATATAATTCTTTTTTTAGACACTGCACAGATGGGATATCCTGCACATATCGTTGCTAAATGTTACGCGTTTTGTGTTTGGCTCTTTTCGCTCTCGTCCTTTTATCGCATTACGTGCAAGGCTCGCGCTCCGTTTGGCTTGGCTTTCGCGATTCGTGATCCATTGCAGGCGAGCGCCAAAAATGGACTGAAACTCAAACAGCTTGACGACAGGACATGCTCCTCGGGCGCACGAGCCAACACACGGACTTCACAGTGACTTCAGCTGTAATTTGCTTACACTTGATTTCGCTAGCTGGCGCGTTCAAATCAGTGCAAAATCACAAAATATACTGAAGGACATTTTGGCTCTTGTGGAATCCTTTATTTTCGCCACTTCGTGGACAACTTGTCGTCCTCCAGAAGGCAACACGCAACTTTATTCGCAACGAAGCAGCTTATTCGGCATTCGCAACATGTTGCTCAACATTATGCCAAAGCTCGATTTGTTGCCAGGGGAATTGCCAATTCGAGCTTTCGGCAGGAGAGTGTAGCAAAGTCAAAGAGCTTCTGTTTTGTCCTACTGTTATACAGGACAGCCATAACAGATATCCATAATCCAAATACTTACAAGGCTTCACCACACGTTGTCGTATAACACCCAAGCTTAAGCATAAATTCCTATAAAAGTTATGACAGGAAAGTATCACAGCCTATGGGGAACATACAAGTCTGTGATGCTTCTTTCACTCACTAGGTGGCGCCTTTAATATTCGGTAGATGGCGTTAGTATTTGAACACGACTGGAACAGATGCTATATTTCAGAAACTCAGCTTGATTGAATATATGTGTTTATTTTGTTTAAATTGCATTTAAATGTGCAGACAACAGGCAGCTGAAAACTTTTTTGACTACATAAACTACAGTGCTAACTCTCTAGGACGGACAACGGCATAGTTGTTCGCTCAGGTGAAGTGTGTGTCTGTAAACGCTTGTTCGGGCAGTTTTCAGGATATATTTAAGATGTGAAAGGTGTCTGCTCCAATAACAACTGCACTCTTAGAGGCAGTTATATTTTTATTTTCCTAATTTCACTTCATTGTTTCCAGTGTAATTACATTACTTCCAATGCTGTTGCTTGTTCCGCTGTTAAATTAGATAACATTAGGCGCATGTAAAGCCGCAACAATTACCATTGCATACTTTTTGGCTGCGCAGTATTTACATATTGGGAATTTTATTTTATTTTACCGTCACAGTATGTTAAAAGGGGGCTGGCACAAAGGGGCTGCTACTGTTTTCTACGCATCGCTAATAGATGTTAAATTTATCACGAACTTCGTATGCCCTTCCCACTTCACTTTTAAGTAGCAATAACATCTTGATCGAACATTTATATAGGTTATATAAGTAATCCAATTTTACACAAGCAAATTTGATTACTTTAACATTTTTTATAGGTACTGCAAATATAATATCTCTGCTGTTAATATCGAAAAACATAAATTGCATAGATTTTCTGAGCGGGTTCCATTGACAAGTGTTATACACAACTGATATACCCTGTTCCCAAAGAAGGGTATATTTTGTTTTCTCGCCGTCCATCCGTCTGCTCGTATGAAAGTATAAGGAAATTAAATCCTTTTCGGATATGTGTTACATTGCTTGCATATATTTCTTGCTATTGTCCTAGCATATATGACATTTGACTTGTATTTGACTTCTTAAAAGAAATGTGTAAAAAGGATAATATTCTTAAATGCGGTTTTATTACTTTAAAAACTTTATTGTCATCATTTCGAAGTCATTTTAGCCATAGTAGACATAAGGCGAAGCATAGGCCACGGCCGGATAGCCTGCGGAATAAATGAGTTGCGGATTGGGATCGGGCTTCGGTCCAGGCACTGGAGCTGGCACTGCCGCAGCTAGAGCGAGTAGTGCAGCGAGTAGCAGGAACACCTGAAAAATATATATATGAAGCGCAACTGAGTTATCTATGCACGTAAATGTAAGCCATTCCATTCGTTTACCAGCTTCAACATGATCAAAAAGTATCTTAGCTATTGACTTTGAGCGCACACAGAATCAACTGCGCGTTTGCGCTTCAATTCTGGCTTTTATATTCAAGAATGGATGGCCACAAAAATTTCGCATGCACTTCGCGTCATCATCCCGGTCCCGGGCGACGTCACGACGCGCCAATAATCAATCGTATTTGTCATCCGAGCTCGGACTCCGTAAGTAACCTTTGCCTGCTTGAATTAGGGTATTATAATCTTGTCGTCGAATGTGCAATGCAAGCCAGGTATATAAGGATCTTTCAAAACTATGCTGATAAATCTTGGTATATTCAAAAGTATGGATCTGTTCTCGAAGTAGAACGTGTCGTTATTCGAAATTCTCAACATCTTTCAACTACATTAAAAATAATGCAATTTTATAAAAATACATCACCTTATACATCTTTCTTTAAAAAAGGCACAATATCGTGTAGCTAGAATAAGACAGTTTAGTCGAACTGATTTGTTTGTTTTTTAATATATGTATCTAAAATAAAACCGAGCCCAAGTACGCTCCTAATATATCAAGATAACTTTAATAGCCTGAATTGATTGAGTTTTTGTATAAAGTACTTTAATTTAAAAACAAACAGTTTAATTACGATTTATACTTTGCCTCTTTTATATGGAGATTGTCTCAGACTCTAGTTTCATATAGTTTTTCTAGACAAAATTGTTAACCTAGTTTTTATGGAAATTACTTGTTTGATTTTCAAATAACTGAAACATTATATTACATTAAACTTTCGACTGTCGAGCAAAATCTTATGTTCATCCGCTTATATCAACAAATATATATCATAAGAAATCGTTAATGATTAAGGGTAAGGGCAAGGGTATGCACATAATCTTTGCTACCCCAATTTATTTCTATGTACATCTATTGGCCGGCAGCCGAAACGTTTGCGAGTATCATTAGCAACAATTAAAAAATCTTTAAACAAATCAAAAATAACTTTTTAACCCTCTTAAATATAACAATAGACTTGTTGCATATTTTATGCCAACTCATTTTTTAACTTTTGCAAAGTTTATTATGTCACAAAATGTGTGACATAAAATAAAAGAAAAACTCCATTAATTGGAGTTGAACCCTTCACCAAACGCGCCAATTGCCGACGCCTTCACGCGACAGCCACACAATCTACTTAACGTGAAAGAGATAGATCTTAAATAGAAATGTAAGCTGAAAAAAAAACATTGAAATAAGACAATTTCGATATTAATCAGGACAAAGTATAGTCAATCCTTCCATAGAAGCTGTCTTCATAGAAATGGGATCGATTCGTATCCTTAGTACAATTTATGTAAACAATTGAGTTTACACATGGATAATATTTATTAATTGATCATTCATTAAATTAGCACTAAGACAATTAAATTGTGTTAACTGGGGAACCGCAATATTATTTCAAGCTATTATGAAATTTTGATTACTAGTTTAGGATTTTAACCAAAGCTGATTGTCGCTAAGGAAATGCAAGGGAAAAATCAATAGGCAGTGGATATTTTCTTAAGATATCTTGAAGAACCAAATCGTTGTTCATAAAATAAACTTAATTTAAAGTAGAATGGCATATTATATGCTAGAAATGATGATATAATTTCCATTGTCGACTATTGTAATTTTCACAAAAATTGTTAAGTAACCATACGGAAGTATTATGCCAGTCTGGAAAATAGAATGTGACCTAGATGCCATTGGAATTCGCTGCTGAAATAGATAGATGCGGATTTTTCGTTTGCATCGGATTGGCATTTCTTGGGCCTCGCAATTAATATTCTGGACGGCACAGAGCTGGCTTCTGTTGTCATTTGCAACTTTTATTCAAAATACTCAATCATTTATCACTTTAATTGCTGCCAAATGCGATCAGCGCTTCGCTAAAAGCCTGCCCCAAAGAAATTCCAATTAATATGCAAGATGCATTGCGAAATTTGTTTGGCGGGCCCAAGAATCAAAACAAATTACCAGTCGCTTTGAAGGTCAGTTAAATATATATGTATATATATATATATATATATACATAACTATTCTTATTGTTCCCGAATCATGAGTGCGCGATAAGAAGGCATTAGAATGCAAAGCCGCTTTGATTGCTGACAAAACTATTAACAACTTTTAAGAATGTGTGCCAAAAATAAAAAAAAACAGAAGAAAAAAAGTGAAATAAATGCGAACATGACTCGGTTGTTCTTCATAAATAAGTCATGAGTGTCAGATTTGGGTATAAAAAGACCCTCAACTCTGGCAAACAGCATCAAAACCCAACTTGCAATTCCTTCAATAACATCTAAAGAATCAAACCAACCTTCCAAAATGTTCAAGCTAGTAAGTGGGCAGGAAGCCTTCCTCAAGATGTAACAAGAAACGGACAGTAATATCATCCAATCTTCTCCCCTTGCAGCTCGTTGTTCTCTTCGCCGCCCTCTTCGCTGTTGCAGTAGCTGGACCGGCGCCCGTTGCTCGTGCTGCTCCTGCTCCAGTTCCAGTTGCCAGCCCAGAACCGTCTCCACAGTTCTACTATGGCGCCAGTCCCTATGCCTACTCCGCGTACTCTGGCTATGCATCCCCGTACGCGTATTACGGTTAAAAGACCTTTCATCCAACGGTAAACGACGGTGAATTAAACCTGGACTAGTTAAAATGGACATGGAAAATACGCACGCTGGCAATTCTAGTTAGGTTTTAGTGATAAATGCTTATGAAAACAAAACAAAAAAATTAAATAAAGAACTAAAAATATTTAAAAGCACAAAAATGATATGAACCAAACATTTGAAAGTGCCAAATAATTCAGCTTTTGTACGCCAACTGGTTTCACCATAAACTTCCACACGTACATATTATTCAATTGTTGGCTACATTTTATACAACTTTTGACACATGACGTTCAAGCGGTTCCATGGTGTAATGGTTAGCACTCAGGACTCTGAATCCTGCGATCCGAGTTCAAATCTCGGTGGAACCTGATTAAATGAATTATTTTTTCTAATTTTTATTAGCGTTAGCCACTGTTTATAGTGGCTTCATTAATTGTTTGTATTTTGTAATGAACTTTAAAATTTTAAATTACAACACTAAACGTAAAGTTTTTATGACATTTGCCACTCAACGGACAAGCGGTTCCATGGTGTAATGGTTAGCACTCAGGACTCTGAATCCTGCGATCCGAGTTCAAATCTCGGTGGAACCTGGTTGGCCTTTATTTTTATACCAAAAAAGAATCTTTTTCATAAAGTTGCTCACACTGTCATTTGCAGAATGTTTTTTCTTGTGGTCTGAATGGTTTGTGTATCGGCTGGCAACAGTGCTGCCAGACTGCTGACAATGATTTTCCGGTAACCTTGTCTGTCAGCTGTTCAGCAGAAAGGCAAATGCACCGAGTCAAACACAATTCTGTTTTGTTCTGTATCGTTTAATGTTTTTGTGTTCAGAAAAGAAAAAAAAACAAATATGTACGGATGCATTTAAATCAAAACTAAAAGCTATTAACTACGCTTTTTTCCGTACGTCGTAAATACGCGCAAAAACTAAGCAAAATGGTTTGTTCTGGGAACGTGCATATAATTGTTAAATGTTAAACAAAATGTTTTGCGTGCTTTGAATCCGAAGGGGAATGCGCTGCGGCTTTTGAACAGTTGTGTACATGTGCATTTGTTTATTATGTTGAAAGGCTCGCTGAAAGTATTGATAGCAATTGTGTTGAGTTTAATGTTTACCATCTCATTGGTAAAGATTGTTTTATTGATTTGGTCCTCGTATCCAGACTGGCTGCATCATTACACGAGGCACGAGCACCCATCCAGCTTCACAGCCGACGAATGGCTTGCATACAAGCGGCTATTCCGTGATAAAGGTAAGTCAATTAGATGTGCTTCACGCTGCATCGTTTATAATTGCCCTATTCTGAGCCTAGGGTCAAAAAGTGTGCAAATCAAAAATATTGCGTACACCAGTTTATGTCAGTGTGTATTTACCGATAGTTGTTGCATACATATGCATACATGCATGCAATTGTTGGGTGTGTGTGTGCACTTCGCATTTTGGCGCATTGTTGATTTATGCTAGTGTGTGTATACAGGTGGCTCGAAAGCTCTTCAAACAGTAACACGTGCTACGTGCAAACACGTCTTCAAGCGTAACAGTTAAAATCGAAGTGTAAATAATTATAAAAAAAAAAATAAAAGAAAAATCTAACTCAGGTTCCACCGAGATTTGAACTCGGATCGCAGGATTCAGAGTCCTGAGTGCTAACCATTACACCATGGAACCCATACGATCTTTGTCCCAAAATTTAGTAATAAAAACCTACAAATTTGAAGACGTCAATTTAGGGAAAGCTATACAAAATTTATCCGATATACAAATTTTATTGACATTTAATTCGTGTTTTGCCATAAAAATAAAAGAAAAAATATAAAAATAAATGGTAATAATCAGGTTCCACCGAGATTTGAACTCGGATCGCAGGATTCAGAGTCCTGAGTGCTAACCATTACACCATGGAACCGTTGAGTCAATTTTGTCATAAATGTGTTTTGTATCAACCAGCAATGTGTATTGATCACCAAAAGATCTATCTTTTATTGAAAAGACACGAAAAAACCAACTAACTCTATAGTATTAAATGTCCATTTCTCAATTTTAGCTTGCGTTGTGTATGGCTTATATAGCTTTTCAAAGGAAAAAAAAAAAAAAAAAGTATATTCTTTATCTAAATGATCGGGTGTACTTAAACTAAGCTAACCAACTATAAGTCTATTTTTGTTCGAAAATAATTAATCGAATAAATATGAAAAATGCATTGAAAATTAATCAAATTGATTTGTATAAAGTCAATTGTCAATACTTGATAATAACTGTTATTTTTGTATATAGTATATAAACAACAGTTACTTGCTTTTGTAGGGTAGTGCATTTATGGTACATGAGGATTATTCTTTGACGAAGATTCTGGTTTTTGTTTTGTTTTCAAGTAAAA